GTATCTTATACCGAGCAAGCGCTACATATTGATGGCATACGGTACTGCATGGAGTATATTAATATATGTACATACATATGAACAAGGTGCGTTCCAAAGTAAACAGGACTTTTTGAATCCCTCTAGTGGCGGCATGTATACACTGGTCGGCAAATATATTTTGTCATTGTATGTATTTTACCATAAGACTCTCTAACTAATTATCAGTGCGTTGTTAGAACCGAAGACGAAGATAAAGGAGAAGTGCAAATTAGCAACTTTAAAAATGTAAAATATTTCGAAAATTGTCCTTTGTTTTTTCTTCCTGCTGATAAGAATGCCAGCAATGGACGATTATTGCAGCGGCAAATATATTTTGTCATTGCGTGATTTGGTTGTTTCTAGGCAAGCTGAGAGTGTGGTTAAAAAATATTATTACAAGTTTTCATTAATATTGTATAAATTTGATTTTTTAATAATTAAAAGATTAAAAAATCAGAGTTTAGCACCAAAATAAGATCAGAAATAGTGATAAAAAAAAATTACTTGGGTGTTTCCGTAATAAACATCGCTAAGGAACATAATTTGTCTCGTCAGACAACTTATTATCAAATCAATAAATATAACAAATGGAATGATGTGATCAATGTTCGCCGTAATGGCAGAAATCTCAAGACAGAACCTGATGCAGACCGTCCAATCGTCCGTGCTTTTAAAAAGGACCCTCTAAAAACACCAAAGGCCATGTCCTTGGAGTGGAATGAGACTGCATAACCTTCCATAAGTGAGAGGACAATACGCAGGCGTTTGATAGAATCAGATATGAAAACATATATTGCAAAGCCAATACCTTTTATAACCCTTAAAAATAAACTAAAGCGGTTGGAGTTCGCGAAAAGGTACATCACCAAGCCCGCTTCATTTTGGCATAATGTCTTGTGGGCGGATAAGAGTAGATTTGAATTCTACGAATCTCAAAAGAAAGTTTTTGTACGAATTAACAAGAATTATCGTAAAAGAATTGCTCCTGTGTGCCAAAGACTAAACCATGGGGGCATATAATGGTTTGGAGACTTGGTTCCCATAGACGGATTCATGAACCAGAACCGATATTTAAAAACCTTAAATGAATTAATAGGAAAAGTATTTATTTTCCAGCAGGACAACGCTCATTGCCATAACGCTGGAATGATTACTTGGTTTTAAAGAGATGTTCAGGTTAAAACCCTCGATTGGTCACCACCAAGTCCTGATTTGAACATTATTGAAAATGTGTGGTCGCTTATAAAATGAAAATAAAGGCACTGATCTTACCAGGATAAAAGCTAAAACCATCATTGAGGTCCCAATGAATTGGAAAGAGATTTTTTAAAATACCTTCAAACCTTGGTCGATTCCGTTCCTAATCGCCTTCAAAAGGTCATAGACAACAAAGGAGGATACATTTTTTATTAATTTCCAGTTTAAAATAAATTTATAAAAATACTACTTAGTTAAAATTTAAACAACAAGTTTGTCACAATACTTATGCCACTGTGAAATTAATTAGTTTTCAGTTTTTATTTAATAAGAAATAAAAGTCATTGTTAAGAAAGACAATTTGTTAATTTAATTTAATATATTGTAACTAAAGGAATTATATACAATCCATAAATATTTTTCTCTTTAAATAAGAAAAATTTAAAAAGAAACTAAAGCATCGCCATGACAAACTATTTTGCCGACCAGTGTATGTCAACTGGTGAGTTAGAATCTGCTATCCTTTATCGACTTCCAGTAAAAATTTCATGACATTGTATAAAGATTTGTATATATTTGGTTTTAAAATTTTCTTAACTTTGAATGTTTTCTATTTTATTGCATATACCAACTCTTTGAAACAATAAGGACATGAAGCAATTATTTGAGACTTAACATATTTAAAAAATTACAATTTAATTTTGAAGAAATAAAAAAATTATATATATTTAAAACGTTTTCTGTTTTTAATGTGGGTGGAAATTTTTACTGTAAATATGGTATTTAACAGTATTCTGCGGTTATCTACAGTTAAACTGTTAAATACTGTAATTTACTAATTTCTTTGGTTGAGGAATTTCTACTGCAGAATCGTGGTTGGATCGACTGTTAAACAGTCATACAACGTAATGCGTTACGTCGTTTTTACCGCAGCTCACAGTGAATCCAACCCAAGATTTTGGGTTGAGGACATTTAACTGCATTGGATTTACTGCAGAAATTTTTTCTGTATATGAATGCAATGAACTCTTTATTCACTTATGGGTAGTTAATTTCCTTGTATTCGATTCTATATTTTCTATCGCGCCTACTAACACCCAACTGAACAAGACGTGCATGGTGTCACAAGGGCCTTTTGAGTGTACCTTCAAAGATCGGCAAATATTTCTTTGTTCTCTGGTCTTCACCCTGCTTTGACATTTCTTATTTAATGGTTTTAAATGAATGGTATTGGAGCTTTGTTCAGACCAAGGTATCGATCTCTCGATCGGTTTCACCTTGCCGAGCCTGCTCGGGCTGCTTCAAAATGTTGTTGTAATACCGTTATTGAACGTACTTTTTATGTCTTGGAAGGCAGCCAATGTGTATTGCTTCTTTTGTAGTATCTTCTTCGTGTAACTCTATTTCCATCGATCGACCTTTTTTGCCTGATGATTAAGGAATAAGGATTGGTTTATCTTTCGTTAGGAAGTGTCCCCATTTTTCTGGTTTGGTATAAGATGACTATGACTTTTCTCCACAAGAGCCGAGATGGCATGCAGCCATTTGCTGATGATTTTCTTACATTAATTGTAATTAAAATGTCTTGACCGGGCTTTTATACTTTCCAAAGAATCTAGATTGCTCTCTGTGTCTGCCTTTGTATTTCTACTTTCCTCCAGTTCCGCGATCTTTTGTTGGTTAACTGGGAAGTAAGTGTGCGCTTGGGAGCCATTTGGCGAGGGTCTATCTTAATCTTGCCGTACCTTAATGCCTTTTAATGATTCGCAGTAACCCTTCCACGGCCGTTTTGTTTGGTTCTCATTCCTTGGACCTAAAGTTTATTTTATGTTATGACCTCCACGCTCTCTTCCTGAGATGGTTTAGTGCCTTGCCACCCACCACGGTGGGTCAAACTTCTTCGAGAATGACAAATTGCATCTATCTTGGATGGCGTTGTTAAGGATATTTGTACAGGTTTACAGGTCGTTGCTAAAAAACATTTTGCATCGATAGGATAGACATGTCCCTGAAAAGTATACTCCACCATCATCGTAATATTATATATCAATTAACATTATCATATCAATTAACACACACTTACCCACGCCACATACTCGTAGATAATCATAGATACGAAGCACGAAGCTAAAAGTTTAGCAATGCCCAGCACTCAGAACAAGACGGAGAGTAAGAACAGCCAAGAGCAAAGCAGAAGAGAGGGGTAGTCTTTACAGAAACGCTTGCAGAACTAGGTCACCGGAAACCGACAGAACCAGAAAATTGGGGAGTCGGTTTTTTGCAAAGACGGCGAACGTTCTCGTTTTGCTCTGCGGAATATTCCTAGTGACAGGACTCGTGTTCTGGCCCAACAGCTCCTGTGCAGGAAGATCGAGGCTCTGCTGAGAGCAGCGAGGGTAAGCTTGCCAACGGCCATGTCCCGATAGGGAGATATACAAAGGTAGTCAAAAGTATTTACTCAACGACCATTTTCATATCCAAATTTCTTTTAGTTGTTATTGTTGTTTTTTTGAGCGTTTTTCCTGAAATTTTCTTTATTGCGTAGATTGATCTATGCAGAAGCGAGCCTAAAAGAAATTCAAAATTACCGGTTCATAAGAGAAGGCTATAAGTAAAAGATTAGATGCACCTACAGTGTAATATTTACACATAATTTGATTTCGTCTTAAGTTTAATGTTATTAAAATTAAGTAATATTTGTATGTAACAATCTCATAAGTTACTTTATTAATAGTTAAAAAATTTGCTTAGGTATTGTTTCAGCTTGTTTCTGAATAGATCAGTTTATGTAATAAAAAAAAATCATGGAAATCGGTCAACAACAAGAAGAATAATAATAAAAATAAGTTTAGCGGTGAAAATAATTGTGAATTTATCTAAATACTTTTGCCCACCCCTGTATCTTGAAGCGTGGTGTAGGGCTGTAGTCAGGGCCATACGTGCATATAAATAGAATCATAAGTTCCAACCTGCTTCGTTATTATATTTTTCTTCCATTTCACACCTACTTGGTATTTCTGTGTCCGATTCACATACCTAACGAGGGTTTTCCATTCTCGGTCGCTTACATGCAGAACTGGCACCTGAATTTGCCACCAGGTTTAGCGGGTGTATCAGTTTTGGATGGACTCAACGCCGGTTGGCAAGACATCCTGTGTGTTATGTGTGGAGACCGGAGAGCGGAGGATACCACCTTTGTTAACCGAGAGGAGGAGAAGTAGGGCAATCAGCAAAGAGATCGCCATAGCACAGGTCCTTGTTGGCCACTAAATCGCTTTGTTGAAAAGGAATTATGTTCAGGGCCTCAGTTCGATAGACCAGCAAATTAAATAGTTGAAGTCATTTACTATTCTAAGTCGTATGTAAAGCCTGTAAAACCTGTCTTTAAGCTAACTAGACATCGAATTAGCAAATATTTTCAAAAACCGAATGTTCCAAACTAAGTTATAAGTTTGTCATTAAAAAGTAAATTTCAAAGTACAAAAAAAGAGTGAGTGTTATCCCTGTAAATATATAAGACACAATTGCGGCCTTTTGATTCTTGGTCATGAAAGGCTTTAAAAAATTATGCTTGGTCATTTTAAAAACTGATAGCTTTCTATTTAGACAGTTTTTATGATCAATAGAACTTCAAAAATAGTTTAATTTTCAATTTCTTTGTATTATATAAATGCCGCACTGGAGTATAAATTAAAAATAGTCTTCCGAAATAAATAAATAAATTTTGACTAAAAAACTTAATAACAATTAAATGTTGGCATTAGAAATATAGATATACTTACTTTTCACGTATGTATTCCCAATTATCAGAAACAAAGCTTAATAGTGTTGTGTATCCAACAAACCCAGAAGCGACTGCATTAATTATTAAAATCTGGTCGCTTTCAGTGAGTATAGAATTGTTACTTAGTATTGCTATTTTAAGTAAATAATGTATTTTTTCATGTTGAGCTGGACACCTAGCCAACATTTTTAACAAATAGGTTCGATCACTTAGGGGCCGAACGTTGGGAAATTGACTTATACGTTCCAGTCCAAACATCCATTCCTTCATAGAACCCAATTTAAAGACAGGGCATATGTCCTCTTTAGGTACACTAATATTATAATTATATTAAAAAAAATAATAAATTCATAGAAATAATACGTACGGACTTTCAAAATTTGGATTAGAACTGTTAAGCCACAATCCAAACCTTTTCCTTGCTGCATTAATACAAGGCAAATAGCCTGCACGGCATAAAAATGTCTTAGATAATTTTCGAAAATCAGTTTTCCACGTGGCTTCACTATTGTTTTGGGTACCCAAGTCTTCATACATAGGAGCCAAGAGAGCTATAACATATAACTGAAAAAATCAATGATGTAAATATATGTTGTCTTCTCTTTATAATAGGCCAACCTCAAACTTCTTATAAACAGAAGACATTTCGATACGCCGTCCAATTTGGTCAATAAATGTAAACATTGGGTTCCAAACTACATGATTGCGTTCATTTTTTATAAATAATGTCATATTTAGTGCAGTTTCAAAATTTAAGTCTCCTGCATATGCTAAGTTCCAGGCATCATGAAGTAATTTTGCTCTAAAATAAAATACAAGAAAATCAGTATTGTTAGTGTTTTAAATACCCCCATTACAATGCAGTAAAAAAAAAACGAGTTAATCAGTCAGCCTGTCGTATATTTACTGGGACAGCGGAAATCAACCTGGCTGGGTGAGAAGCCGATCCAGCTTCTCCGTATCCACCGGGCCATCACATGAGTGTGGCAGGTACGGATAATTTGTTAACCCACAAAATAAATAGCCACCAGAAATTATCCAGCCGGCCCTCAGGCGAATTCGAAGATGATAACATAGTCAAACATTTTAATTGTAAATTAAGAATTCTAAAACATGCAGATATTCCCGTAATTTTGTTCCCCGAAATTCACCGGCGTATGAATTCAATGTGCATATTATATTATTTTTTTCAATGGAAGTTGATGCACTATGTTCAGTACACTCAAGTGGCCCGTATGAAACCAAGCACGTGCCTGTTGGGTTAGGTGTTAGTAGACGCGATTTGAAATATAGAAATGAGTACAATTAAATTAATTACTGGCGTGCTGCCATACTGTTTGCCTGTATGTGTACTAAGTGGGTTAGAATTAAAGATTTTAGTCTGGGAAGACTATCTATTTTAGAGATTAATGTGTACAAATCATTATAATTTGCACATAATACTATAAATACTTTAAAAGAGGTTCTACAGTGGAGCAACTCTTAAGATAAATATGATCTAGTAATTCTACTTGGTACGTCGAAATTGAGCTGCCTTTCCACATCACCATTGATGTTGTTGTGGAGAAAGGTTATGCCTAGAATAGTGTTACGGCTTGCTAAGGTAAGTTAATGAGAAGGAGTCTATTAGAATGGGACGGTAATTTTTGGCTTGCATCCCAATTTTAAGCAAGTAAATCGAAAAGTAAAGAGTTCTTTTGAAGATTCGATTCGAGAGAGTACGATTCTTCTTAAAGGAAGGTGCTAAGAAAAATAACCAGAAAAAAGAAATGCTTAAGTACTTAAAGCATTAACAATGGTATTTTTGAATTGAAATAAGGGCTTTCCAACGAGAGCCTTCAAAAATAATGTTAATAATATATTTATTAAATAATTATTTATTTTATTGCCCCCGGAGTGCGGAGTCGATAGTTTCTTTACAGCGCATATTAGCCACTGTGGAAACTGAGTTTTTTAACTTCTCCCCCTTCAAGTGGTCGCCGTCTCGGTAACCCGCTCGTTCCACATGGCTGTTTGTTCCTGGTTTGACTTGATTCCTGGTCCTCAAATAGTGGTAGATAAGCCATACAAAAGAGCACAGTAGGAATATGGTCAATAGGGCGATGGAGTAGTTGAGGAAGGAACCCAATGTAAGTTTTTCTCTTAGGGTCCCGATGTGGTGAAGTTTGCTTAGACTCAGCTCGGAAAGAAAAGGAAGACTTAGTCGGTTTTAGTAAGTAGAAATTTTGAGCACGGTCATGGCCGACTCACCAGGTTTTAATCAAAATTTCCAGCTGGTTTACGAACCAAGTTCCGTTAGTTAAAATAGGTTACCAGGTAGGTTATTCCACCCTTGGTTATCGGTTTTGGTCATCTTGGCGTTGTTCACGCTGATTGTGCCGTATTCTACTACCGTAACTGGTTACAGATGCCCTAGGAGCGTGAAGCTGTGCGCAGGAGCTCTAGAAACTACTAGGTTTTCGTATTCGAAGTCCAGGATCTTGTTGGGGTGCTGGACCGGATAGACTTCATCTTATATACAATTTTAGGATTAGGGAATATAATAAAATACAGGATCTCGGACTTACTTTTACTGACTAACTTTTCTTTAAAAGAAGATGAAAGTGTCCATTGATTATAATTTAATTTCGGAAACAGTTTACCGGGCTATCAGTTGTATCAAAAGTGTCTAGTGTCTATTGTTAGCGACTGTCGGCTGCTTCTAATTTTTGTACGTCCTTTAGGGCATTTATGTTTTTACGAGATAACGTGTCCGCCACTAGAGTTTCCTTGCCTGGTTTATCAACCATGATCGTCTATAATTGCCTTCCAGCGCTATAACTTCGCATTAGGGTTTATGTTCAATACGGCAAGGGTAAGTGGCCGATGATCGGCAAGCCTTTTCCTCCGAATTGGTAATTCCGACGGCATTTTAATGCCCATCGCTCGTTGGTTGCGTAATTCTCTTCACTCTCAGGCAAGGCACGTGATATTGTAGTATGCACAAATATCTTTGCTCATTGTACATTGGTGAATATACGTATATATAAAACCAATCTATATATATATAAATGCTCTGTTCGTGTCTACTTCCTTTATAGACCTCAAAAGTTCTGAACCGTTTAAGGCCAAATTTTGGCACAACATGCGTTGAGGTTCCAGCTCGATTATTGTCTACTTTTGATGTTGATAGCTTATCTGCGTTTGCGAATATATCAATTTTTTTCGCGTTTCCCCGTGCCCCTACTGCTTCGCCCTCTACAGGCAGCCAGCTGAATCGAAGCATTTATTGTCAAACATCCCAAAAGTATTGAAACAAGAAATAGGAGATTAAAAATTTATATTTTTGTTCAGTTTCAGTCGAGAAGTCGAGTTTGGGTCGTCGTACTCGCAATACAGAAGCAAAAAGACGTAAGATTACGAATATGACTGACGAAGAGCGGTCCTCCATCCGAGAGACTGAGCGGCTGAGAGCAATGCAGATGCACAACGCGGAATCAGCAGAAAGACGAGCAGATAGGGTTAAGAGAAAACGATTGAGAGTTAGGCAGTCGCGTTCTGCAGCAATCGATTTGATTCACTCTCAAAATAATGAACGCGACAGGGCAAGAGTAGCTGAAGCTTGGATGCTCAAGGAGGAACGGAGAAAACATTCCTCATTTCATTGATTCTGGCTACGGTTCGAGCTAACAAGGACATAGTATTAGCTCTTGCTTCATCTGGAATCGCTGAAGTTGCCGTTGAACATGCAAATAATCGAGACTCCTACGTGCAACATTTCCAGAGCATCTGGCATGGGAAAAGTATTGCAAAGATGTAAACTCATTGTTTGGGATGAATGCACGATGGCACACAAAAAATCGCTGGAGGCTCTCTATCGATCATTGCGGGATTTGCGTGGGAATGCGTTAATATTGCTCGCAGGGGATTTTAGGAAAAAGTTGCTTGTGATTTCCCGACCGACAACAGCTGACGAGACAAATGCTTGCCTGAAATATTCTACATTGTGGCAACATGTACGTATATTACAGTTGAAGACGCATATGCGTGTCCAGTTACAGAACGATGACTCAGCATACGTATTCTCACGACAGCTACTGGACATTGGGAACGGAAAGCTGCCATGTAATGAGACGTCGAGAAAAATAGTATTGCCCGAGAATTTCTGTAATTTAGTTACATCGAAGGAAGGACTTATCCAAAAAGTGTTCTCCGATATCCGAATAAATTATAGAAATCACGATTGGCTCAGTGGACGAGCGATTCTCGCTGCCAAAAACAAAGATGTATACCAGCTCAATCATGTAATCCAATTCAGCATAGAAACTGACGAAATGACATATAAGTCGATAGATACCGTTGTGGAGGCAGAGGAAGCAGTTAATTACCCTACGGAATTTCTAAACTCACTTTATCTGCCTGGAATGCCACCACACATATTGAAATTAAAAATAGGTGTGCCGATTATCATGCTCCGAAATATAAATCAGCCGAAACTCTGCAACATAACTGGTCCTTTCAAAGGTGAAGATGTCCTCATTTCTAGGAGTCCTCTGATCCCGACTGATACAACGTTCTAGTTCAAGAGATTGCAGATTCCCATTCGTTTGGCGTTCGCAATGACCATTAATAAAGCTCAAGGTCAATCTCTGGAGTTGTGTGGTCTAGATTTGGATGCAGATTGTTTTTCACACGGACAATAGAATTTTGCGTGTTCCCGTGTCGGAAAACCAGATAGTCTTTATATTTACGCGGAGAATGGAGAAACGAAGAATATTGTATACCAACAAGTATTACAGAATTAAATGAATTTGAAAATTATTCTTTTTTGTTTGACTTATTTCTTATGCGTGTAACCACAATATGCCACAGAGAAACGTGGCAGAGTACAGCTAGTTGTTTTTATAAATTGAGTATGAGTATGAGTTACATAATAAATGTCTAAAAAAGAAATATATGAGTCAGGCAAATGATCTAGTAAAATTTTTTTTCTGTTATCAACTCTTAAAATTTAAGAAAATGGAAAAATATAAACATAAATAAATACAAATAAAAATATATATATTAACTAAAGTCTAGCTACACTAAACGCGATTAGAAAAATATATGATAGGGACCCTTGTTTTAGAGTTTTAGAGAGAAAGAGTTCTTCAATTAGTTTCAGCGATTTCAGTATTCATGTCCATAATATAATAGAGTGGAATGAATTATATAAGCAAATAAATAACATAACATTTTACTTGGACAAATCATATATGTCACTTACTCAAAATAGGCCAACTAAAAAAAAACACTATTAAAAAACATGAAGAAATACCGGAATCAACAGAACAAACTGACATTGACCAAAAAAAATCAGAAGAACTTACAGAGATAAACCCTAAAATAGAAGAGCAAAATTTAAATCATCTTAATATTTCAGCTGTATTAATGCCAGATCTCGATAATTCTACAGATTCTGATGATGGTTCAAGCATAATAGAGAATAAAATTAGCATCAATATTACAATGGCACAATCTAATATTGATTTTATTAATACAGCGTCCAAGCTTATAACAGTTTTCAATGGTAAAGCTGCAAATTTAACAAGTTTTATTGATGCATTACCAAAAATAGAATCAATAAAAGGCGAGCACGGATAATTAGCAGTTTGTATAATAATATATAGCTATAAGCTATATATATATATATACCCTTGCAAATAGAATTTCGATGACTAGGAATCCATACAATATAAATTATATAAATTTATGTTAAACAAGAAAGGAAGCTAACTTCGGCACGCCGAAGTTTATATACCCTTGCAGATAGAACTTCTATGAAT